TAGTGAGAGTTATATGTATAATACACAGATACATGTAAATACAATATTGTATGCAAGTGTGCATTATCTACCACAGAGGTGGTCCTATATATCTTTAATGGATCATCAAATTAAGTAATCATGTTCGTTGTAGTATATATGTTCATCCAAGTGGTTCATTAATGCATACATATAAACAAAATAAGTTGTTTAGTTATAACTAGCTATATATGTAATAAACAAGGACAATACTGTCATATGTTACAGAAGATATCGAGGATAGATTTATATACATATATTATTAAATGGATAAAATGAGTATGGTGAGAGTATTAAATGGGGTCACTGCATATTTACACTTTTATGGGTTCCGAGAAAGCAGAAAAATGCATTTGTTTCTACTTATTATAGTTAAATTTATTACTATTATCAAAGACAATATTTTAGTCACCAACAAAGTTTTGTTTGTTCGTTTGTATGTTGTTTAACGCCCCTCTCGAGAATTTTTCACTCATATGGAGACGCCACCACTTGCCGGTGGAGAGCTGCAAATTTTGTCCTATACTCGGCACTTACGGCCATTGAGCAGTGAGGGATCTTTTTCGTGCCAGCACCTACTGCGACACGGGACCTCGGTTTATACGGTCTCATCCGAAGGACCGGTCTCCACGTCCCACAGTGGGATTCGAACCCGCGACGTAAGGATCAGCTCCTTACTTCGCGACTCTAGAGCAGACGCTCTAACCACTGCGCCACGCGGGCGCACCAACAAAGTGAAACATTGAATAAAAATATAAATTTAAAATTGTACACAAAATGGCAATGAAACATGCCCAAGCTCCTTTATGAAATTTGAATTTATATGAACAGACAAATGAAAATTATAGTTATATTATTTTTATTTTTTCTTTGTAAGTAAACATAAAAGAAATGGTTTTCCTCCGAGAAGATGAGGACATTTTATCGTCCTAGGGCACCGTTACAACAGCGTTTAACTTCACCTGTATCTGTAATATATATGTAAATGAATTACTTTATTGTAACCCAGTTTGAGATAAAATCAATACACATACATATTCTGAAAATTTTGTTTTAATTTTAATTCGCACGGAAAAGAAAACAATTTTTTTTTCATTTCTGAATCGCATAAAGGTGATGTTATATGTTATTTTTTGTTCCCAGTTCTCTATTCTGGGAAGGTAGCAATTTAAAAACATTTCAAAAGGGAAAGCATGTGGAGAATCGTATATTGGATACCAAACACAGAAAATAATCATCTAATTAATCTCAAAACTGACAAAAAGTGCAAATACAATTACCAAACGAAATACAGGCATCCATGTATGGAGAATAATGAAATCCTTGATCACACTTTTTCACGCAGGAGCGCGTCATCCTGTCAAATGTATAACCTGCCAGACATCCAATCCTCCTTGCTAATAAGAGAAACAAGAGGAAAAAATAAAAAAAAAAGTTAATATAACTTATAATATTTTCTTTCTTTTGTAGAGGTGTTGAAATAGAATAGAGTCTTGTTCAGCAAGCAGATGAAAACACAATCTTCGAAATAGCACTTATACATCTAGTTTTTCTTTTTTCCTTTATTTTTCTCTCTTTATTTTTGCAGTTGTTTCATATCCAAGACATGGGAGATGGTATTGAAGAGTTTAAGAAAGAATATATGGGAGAGCTATTGATGACGTTTTCAGCATCACGTAACTGTGTCAATTCTTAATATTTCAATCAACATGATCAAGATTCTTATATTCATCTTTATTCATCGAACGTAGGAACTTCATTAAGAACCCTCTATGCAATTATAAAAAAAGATATAGACCTGGAGAAAACTACTAGTATATTGTATACAGATGTAAATATGAGTTTATCGATTTCAATTTCACTTTCAACGCAGGGACCAGCCTTTACCTACAGGAAAAAATTCAAACTTAAGACGAACAGAAATCACTGTTTCTTAATTAAATGTGAGAAAAGACATGCAGAGAAAGTCTTCCATTGATTTATTTTTATTATAACGTATTAAGAATGCTTCAGTTCATAAATATGATATACAGTTACAATTTAATTTGATTGAGAATTAAGGGTAGATCACTCTGCATAATAAATAATTATACCAAATGCAAGATACATTGTCTTTTGCGAGTAAAAAAAAAATCATCGGACAGCATTTAAAAGAGGATAAAATAATCATATGTCATACCTGAAGTGATACTTATTCCTAAAACACATATCACCAAAATAAAGCACACGGTCACCCTGCTGAGCATCCTTAATATCCGGTGTAGTGAATGGAAATAGATATCTGCTACTGGAATTTTTTTTTTCAAATTATAGCCAGTGTATTTATAAGTGCCAGAATTATTATTCCAATATGTCCAGCCGGGTATGGAGATGCGTAACACTTTTAATAACATGTTTTGAATTATTGTGGTACACTGTTTATCAAAACAGCGAGGAGTGTTTTTAAACGTCATTTGACAATCGGATTTAAATACAAATAAAGCTAATGATTTAAAAATACTTTATTGTGTCTAATGTTTTTTTATAAATGAAATAAATATTTTTGTTTAATAATGTTTATAGGCTCGCCACTTTCAGTAAACGTGTTTTCATTAATTTGTTGCCTGTGTACATTGAAATGACGGTAGTGGTTCAACAGAGACTTAATTTTATCTGAACAGGGACGGGGTTGTCAGGACCTAGCTCAGTTCTAGACTTATTACAATTACTTCAAATTAAATATATTGACAAATATTAATTTCTAAAATGAATTTTCAAAGAAAAAAGATGTAGTTTCAAAGGTTTCCCACAGCTTGATCAAAATCAAAATCAAAAAATCCAAGTACACTAGAAATAGTAATTAAAAAACGTATGTTGACGTATTAACGTATTATTCTTAAAAATGTATATGACTACTTTAATGTACAAACGCACATTTATGAAGTAAAGTTGAAGTTTAAATCTTCACTGAAATTCATAATTTAAAGTACAGTACAAGTATAATATGCATTTGTAGGAACACCTTGCACGTATCAGACTAATGTACAACATAGGCTTTGCTCACTGGTTGTGGCCGTGTTTATGCTGCAGAGTAAAAGATTTGGATCCTTCTTCGATGATATTTTGCTACCATTATTTTAAATATTTTAAACCTTATTATACATGTAAATGTCTTACATTCTTATGCTGCCGAGGTGTAGATTTTTGTGTGTGCTCGAGATGTAGATTTTTCTAAGTAATGACAATCTGTGTTTTTATGTGACAGAATAATTCCTAGTCTCTGTTTGACTGAGATCCAATGTTGTAGAAATCATACTAAGTTATGTTAACATGCACGAGACATTCCATGTGAAAAAAAAAAAAAAACACTTATTTTTATCTACATTTGATTAAAAATAGATCGAAAACTTCCAAACTGATTCATTAGTTATACAAAGTTATGTTTAAATTGATCAAAAATTTCCAAACTAAAATTAGCTATAAAACGTTATGTTCACCTGCATCCGACCTGTCAAGCACCCGTGCTTTGTATGAAATGATAAGATAACAAACAGTGATAATTATCATTAACAATTTAAACAATGCAAATTCACAGCAGAGCCAGCATGTCCTATGAAAACAGAGATGGGATCTGGTTAGCATCCCCTGTCGACCGGGCAAACCCTTGTGCTCCTTGTCATGATCGGGCCCCGGGATTATGAAACATCTGAAGCTTAAGTCAAAATCGTTATGTTGTACTACAATGTTCTAGAAGTCAAGCAGAACAAAACTAAAATATTTTTCAATATTGCATTACAAAAGTGTTGTTATCTGCAAATTTAGAGATTACTTCAATAATTAATTAACACTCTACAGGCAATTGAAAATCTGACATAAGTCTACGTCTGTTTCATGATCCTGGGCCGGGTAAACGGAAAAATCCGTAGACAATTCAGCATGAAAATAATGGCCCAACAATGTGTATGAAAGACGCCACTCAACAATCACTCAGATTTCGGGGCCATAAAACTTAGAAAACTTTTAATTTCAGTTTCACTTTTCTACTATATATTCCTTTTGTAAAACAGATTGAGATCAGAAGTGAGTTCATTTAAGTTTTATGGCCCTGGAGTCAGACCTCAAAAACTTTCTTGTCTATCAGTACTAATTCATAGAAATATGATTTGATATTTACAGTTGTAACCATTTAAAGTGAAAGTAACTGGTTTCGTTTTAAATCTTCAGGTACCAATTGTAAGGACTTTTTTTCTGTTTGTTAAATTATGATCAAATCATATGGACTCCAATATATAGGACTTCAATTTTCTTCGAACAAAAAGGTTTGAAACAGAAACTCTAGAGTTTATTTCGATGTTGTGATTTTTTTTTTATAAAAATATATATGACATACATATTTCTTGTTTTTTTTTTTTTTTTTTTTTTTTTTTTTTTTTTTTTTTTTTTTTTTTTTTTTTTTTTTTTAGATTCTGTTCAAAACATAATTATGGACTCCAATAAAACTTTAATTTTCTTCGAACAAAGCGGGTTTGAAGTGTCTAATACCGGTATGTCGTTCGTTTCCAACTACATTGTTTTGCTCATTGTAGGATATTATTTGTATGTAATGAATAAAAACTGTCATTACAAATGCAGTGTGGCTCATTTTTAACTGTGGGAACACGAAATATACGTCACTAGATCAGCTAGGTCTACACATCAAAGCATTGCATGGCAAGTGACTACAATTTATTTCTTAAATATAATCAAATGCTAGTACATATAAGATTATACAAGTTATGATAATTTTTTTTTCTTTCAAGGTTTCAATAAATAAATATACTCCAGATTACTTATATAATTTGACTTTTTGTCAAACTTACAATTATTTAGCATTTACATACATCAATGTCTGGTAAAAAGTCAAAAGTAAGAATCCGGAAAAAAGTCAACATGGTTGTTTATTCGAAATGAAGCTGTAGTCAAATTAGCCTTACAGCTAGTATCGTCTTATAGCTAGCGTCGTCTTATAGCTGGTGTTGACACGAAGATTTCTTTCTTCGATGGACACCAAGACTCTCCCACTTTATCCAGGCGATTCTGGCTGTCAGGTCTACAAATGTAAAGGTTACAGATATTTCACCAATTCACAACACAGATGAATGTTAAACGTGTGCCTTTGTTTCAATTAATAAAACTATTCTTAAATTAAAAAGTGTTGTATTCGAAACAAATTATACTAGTAATTTGTTTGTAAAGATTTTTATTAATTCATTTTCAAACTTGTCATCCTTTATATTACTTATGACTTTCAAAAAGTTGAGAAATTGCTATGAAGTTAATCGATATTTATGTTTCTTTTTCTTTATCACAACGCAAAAATAATCAATGTTCTGAAGTGTTTATACGGTAGCTTATTAACGTTTCGTATCCTTTCTCATACAAAGTTATAATTATTTTCCTAATCTACTGAAAAATTTTACGTGATACATCAAATTCATTTTATATTTAAATTCATTTTGTTTATTTATAATGTGTCAGTACTGAAGTATTAGTCGTATTTCAAACATTTATTCACCTCTAATTTTCATCAGTGATTGAAGATACGAGCATGTTGCATTGTTTATATTTTGAATTTCTATACTTATTCTAAAACAAAGACCATTAAATGATTTGAACTTACCTGAATATTCTTAGAATTCAACTAAAACGACATTTTTTTTCCATCACGTCAAACATCTGTTTTTGTAAACAAGGCATGAGCTCTGTTATTGTTAATGTTTACATGGATTATAGTTTTAATATTTTTCATTAATATACAACGAAATTTCTACTTTTTTAGTATTAAGGATAATGTTTATTTTGTGAAAGTGCAAGGATGTGTCAATCAAACGCGTCCCGAAATTCGTAGTTTCAATAATTTCCAGATAAAAGACGTTTCTGAACAAGCTTTTATTATATTTCCGTGTGAAATGCTATAGCAACATATAAGTCATGATATTACCCTTCAAATCTGTGTCTAGGCCCCTTTAATTCCTATAAGACTGAAAAGCACTTGAAGATTTTTTTGAAATATATTTTAATCAAAATTTCAAAGTTAAATACGTACCATAGTCATTCAAAATATCAAAGTGAAGATGCAACTTAAAGGTAAATCCATGTGTGAAAGTTAGGTTTTCACATTAAATCAAAGTATCAAAATATACCATATTATATAAAAATAAGTCAAAATATTAACTGTAGAATTTTTGGGTATATTTTATTTGGGGCCCGCAAGGATTTGCAGGTGCCCTAAAGTAATCACTCTGTCACTCTGTTTGTCTATCTGTTCGTCTGTCTGTCTGTCCGTCTGTCATTATTCCGTCCACAAATTTTCTGGGTTTTTTTTTTCTAAAAACTTTTTTATAGTTGACCAATTACGTTCAAATCTGGTATGTTGGTTGAATAGGCAGTAAGATATATCCTGATGCTAAGTTTGGTTCTCTATATCATCCAGTTTGGAGCTGAGGTGGTGGGATAGATTCCTCAACTTTATACAAGAATGAATGGGCAAAGATAGATAAATCCTAAGAATGTTCCTATTGTAAACTATGAAAGCTGCAATGAGTCCCGTTGGATATATTAACTTCCCTCTTGAAGAATATCTTTAATATCTTGAAGCATTATCTTTAGCTGTCACAATGAGATTAATTAACACCTCTGTCTGCAAATGAAGTTTGTTTTGAAGTTAAGGTTAATTCTGAATGATGTTTACATTCTCTGAAATGTGGATTTAAATAATGTTCATACTGTATTTTGGTAAACTACACAATGAGTTATGATTTTATTGAATTTTAAAAACAAGATATAGATATAGTTTTTATTATTATTTTTTTATTATTATTTTGGCTGCCTTATGTGAATTCATGAACACTATTAATTTTAACAGGCAGTCGGATAATAACCTCATTTTGTCATTGCTGAAAAAGTTCTTATTGTAATCTTTAAAAAGGAAAGGATGAGACAGCAGTACAATTATCCCCTGGGAATAATTATCTTGCCTACTGCAGAAAATTTTAGTGACTTAATCTTTATCTGTCACTTTAAGATTAATTAACACTGATAATTGTTTTGAAGTTAAAGTCAAGCTTGGGTGATATTTGCATTCACTGAAGGCTAATATTTTATAAAACGTACTCTTCATTCTTGTTTAAATGTACATTTAATTGATTTATTATAGATATGGTGTTTTCACTGCCTTATGAAAATACAAGGAAACTATTTACAGGTTGTTTGTATTTAGGAATTATCTTGAAATTTTATAAATACAGAAGCTGTTGCTCATTCTTCTTCATATATTTTTGAATTTTATAATCAAGTATAATTCTCATTCCGTAAGCTGCACCCTTATATTTCTACCCCTTGACGGGGCCCTTGCTGACTGGTTAGTTTTCTAGTTCTTGACTGTAGTTGAATAAGAGAATTAGAGAAAAAATATCACAACTCGTATTTATTTCAGCTGAAAAAATTATTTTGTTGTCAGTATAGCCAAAAACAAACAGATAAAAACAAAACAAAAAACAAAATTTAAAAAACAAACAAATAAAAAAAAAAAAAAACAAAAAAAAAAACAAAAACAAAAAAGTAGATGCATCTTATTGTTTTCTGCGGAAGCCCATTTAGGACCTATCAAAAATATCGATATAACGAATTGTCGAATTTGTTATAACGAATTTAATTTGTTATAACAATTTCTTTGAATTTGTTATAATGAATTTAATCTGTTATAACAAATTTGTTGAATTCATTATAAAATTTTATAATTCAAAAATTTGTCATAACGAATTAAATTCGTTGTAAAAAATTCTAAAACTTGTTATAATGAATTAAGTCGTTTATATGAATGAAATATATGGAGATAACGAACAGTATTCAAGCTCAAAAGTCCATTATACAATACAAAATAGGAGCAGAGCAAACACCGACCTCTAAGACATCAGAGGTGGGATCAGGTGCCATGGAGGAGTGAGCATCCCCTGCTGACCGGTCACACCCGTCGTGTGCTCCTTGTCGTGATCGGGAAATAACGGAAAAATCTGTCGACAATTCAGTGTGTAAATAATGGCCTAACAATTAGTATGAAAAAAGTCAGTCAGCATTTGACTTAGTGAAAGATTGTATTTGCTGACAAGGTCATTGTATCGACCATAGAACTTACGAAATGATGACGCTAAACGAGACTGCTGATATTCTTGTTTCATCAACATGTTTGTCAGTAACTTAACTTCGTTTTAGAAATTGTTCATACGTAGAGCATGCTCTATCGTATCGAATCAACTGAGAGATATAAACCCCTATGCAGGTTATATATATATTTCATAGGTCCTGATTGCTGAATTTGATTAAACAAATTTAATTCGTTATAACAAATTTTTGAATTTGTTTCAACGAATTTAATTCGTTATAACAAATTTTTGAATTCGTTATAACGATTTACACAAATTTGCTATAGCAGATTAAATTCGTTATAATGAATTCAAAGAAAGTGTTATAACGAATTAAATTCCGTAGTTTTCCGTTTTTTTTTATTTTAAATTCGTTATAACAAATCTCATTTGTAATAACATTTTCTTTTCTTTTCTTTCCTTCTTTTTTTTTCGTTATAATGAATTTAATCCGTTACAACAAATTTATTGCATTCGTTATAACGAATTTAATCTGTATGATTTTCTAAATCCGTAAAAACGTTAAGAAATTGAAAAAGCATTTTTTTTTTTAAATTTCGTTATATCAGATTAGATTCGTAATAACAAATCCTTGAATTGCTAATAAAGAATTCAAAAAATCTGTAATAACAGATTAAATTAATTTCCAAAAAAAATTGTTATAACGAATTTAATTTATTTGTTATACCGAATTCAGAAATATTTGATAGGTCCTAGAAAGGCTTCCGTATTAATGGATCTTTCATTGTGCAAAATCATCATTTGAATAATGGATACACCGTAAATAAAAATAGCCTAAAAACAAATTTTGCACCGTTCTAATTCATCAGACTTTTGCCATGAAAATAAAAGTTTCGAGTATTTGCCATGTATCCATTTTTTTTAAAATAACGATTCATTTCATTTCATTCCAAAGACAAAAATTACATGTCTCTGTTTTAACAGGTTTTGATACGAGATATTGTACTTAGCTAATTGCAGATGGGTGCAATTTGATACACTTTTCAGGCCCTGGAATTTAAATCTTATCATATTTTATATTTTCAAAATTAAAAGGCGATAATTATCAACTGTGACATTTCATATTTAACAGAATTAGCAGTCTTGATTCGTATAAAATGGGGGGGGGGGGGGTTGTTTTTATTTTTTGTTCAACATAACTTTGTCACTTTATTTGAAAATTGTCTTCGGAATGCACAAATCGTTAAAAATTTAAAAGAAATGAATTATCGTGTTAGAAAACCCTATGATTTTCACGGGCCCTTTTTCATAACTAGTGCGTGTCTCTGCGATTTTATAAATGACACACACAGAAAATTTGTAAGGATCTATTGCTTTCAGTATAAACAATTTAATATTGAAAAAAAAATATTAAAACAGATATTTTTTTTTGTTTGACCAAGTTGAAAAAAAAAATTATACCATGTCAGGAGTGCAACAGAAAAAATGTAGTGTCGCCAAAAAAAAAACATAGATTTTAAAAATCTGAAAGACAATTAAGTCAAAAAAAGAATTTTCAAACTTGGTTACTTACTGTCAATGACTGTTGTTTGCTACTTTTATTTGATATTGTGTAACATTATAAATGTAAGAGGGTCATTAAAAAATACGTAGACTTTTGTAACAACTTTTTTTTTATTTAACGTCATACTATAACTAAATTTAGTATACATATTTTAACAATAAATCCAAATAAATTGAATAAAAATTTTAGATGAATCGTGATATACGAGCATATCAAAATTATCAAAATTAAATACTGCGAGAATAGGGACACAGAGCACGGTCAAAATTCACCAACAGTACACTTTATAATGTAAATAGTAACATCTCTTATAAACAACGCTTAAATAAAAAAAAGAATTTAAAGTTTAAAACTAGTATTCTTGTATAATTTCAAATGATAAATTGAATTAAAATACAATTGCTTCGTTAAAAAGAAATCAATTCCAGACGGTAGATTGACCTCACTGAAAAAAAGCTTAAAAAGGGGACGTCAAAGAACAACGAGTAGCAATATAATTTTGTTTTGCGCTCGGGAAACCTCTAAAACAAAGTCTGAAAATGTTGGAGAAACCATGAAAATATGGTAGACTTTGAATCAGACGATGGAAAGTCTGCAAGGAAACAGATTAAGGTAAAAAAAAAATCTGGTCAAAAGAGTTAGTAACGTCATAGAAAGTGATGTGCACTTCACTGCTGCGGAACTTGTGAAAGCAAAAATATTCGAAAAACACTGACAAACTAACTTCAGCTTATCAAATTAAGGTTCAAGTGATATGGAAAGGGTTAAACGAGAAAGTAAACCGCTAGACCGTGTGGGAAATGGAGAGGAAGTAACTTGAGAAACGTCAATGACGTTGTACTAGGATTTGACGTTAAGCGTGCTCCTTGGTGACAAAACATGTTGATTTAAAAATTAAGTTAAATGCGTGCTATTTAATCAAATGGAACTTCACACATCGACAAAATAAATGTTTTTACATATAAGCATGCATTGATCTTAAATCTTGTAAAAATAATATGACGAAGATGGGTATTGTCTATGGATTTTTCTGAACAGAATGACCCTCGTATATATATGCCTTATTCAATGAGAAATGTTTGCCGATTTATTCTACAAAATGATTTGGCAATCTTTTAATACAACTTGAAGTTATTTATGTATATTGCTGAATAAAATCAAAAGAGGAAAATTAGTTTTCCAGTTTCATCTTTGCAAGTCAAGTTATAATTATGATGCTTTACTCCAGGACTCGTGAGAAGAAAAGCAAACTAAATCTTCTTGGGACTCCAGTGAATACATTGCAAATCTCTATATGCATCCTTTAAATATATTTACCACTTGTGTTCCAGACTATTTGGGACCTTGGAATGTCGGGAGAATTAAGTATCCGCTCCACATACTCTATAGGATCCGCCACATCAGCTTCTAGGAGGTCTCGAAGAAGGGCAATGTAAGCTATGGCCAAACGCAGGGTGTCAATTTTAGAAAGACGCTTTTCATAAGGAAAAGTAGGTACATGAAGCCTCAGTTCTTCAAACGCAGAGTTGATACTAAGCATCCTGCGGCGTTCTCGGAAATTTGCGGCGTCCCTCGGTGGTTTTTCCAAATTCTCGTCACTTAAGGGGGGAAATCTGAAATCTGCAGTACCGTCAAAAACTTCGTTATGGCTATCTTCTTGTAAACGGTATATATTGTATTGTTTTGGAGGTAAATTAGCTTCGGAAATGAACTCTTTGCTAATATTTTTACAGCAATATTCTATTTCCTCCTCGAAGGCGCGGCAGTACTCGTAAAATCTTACAGGAAGAGTCTGAGAAAATTCCATTTCAATTGAATATTAGAACATTTTCGGATTTAAGAATAATCCGAAATATCATGTCTTTAAAAGCAAATTTCCTCCACGAACGATTTAATATGGGTATACTTCAAATTAGCTTTTATAGAATATTTATGTCACATGAAGACAGTCTGTGTTCTAATAGAAATTAAATCAGTGAGGATGATGAAGAGTTTATATACCCAAAAATTTTCATCTTAGGATAATTAAATGTCAAAATCAACTGCGACAGGCAATTAAAATCCCGTTGTTCGTTACTGGGCCCAGGGTTCCGAGTGGGGAAATCTTCACCCTGTTTTCTCCAGCAGCACATGACGTCTCCATATTGTTCATGTCAGCTCGCTGTGATCGCGGGCACTTGTCGATTCAGCAAAGCGAAGTATTCCTGCTGCGATTCCTTAATTGTTTTCTCTACTTCTGTAAAGATTGCTTCAGAGAAAGGCTTTTGGTAGTAGAAGACGGTTTTGGTCGCGTGTGTATTCCTCTGTGAATATGGGACTGAATTCGTCGTCTTTTGTGTATATAAGGACTTGAAAATACTGAATCATAAAATTTAGTAATTGCTATGTTCAAATAGGTACTTCAGCATTTTGTTCAGAACAAGAAGATAATGTGCGGGAGGGGGCGCGTGCATGCATTTTCCATCAGAACCTCCTTTATGCAGGTTTCTTCAAATGTGTGACTATCGACTATGTTCACTTTCTTTTAAAAATTTGTAAAAAACTGAAAAACTTTTGAGTTAATGTTGCGACAGCCCCCCCCCCCCCCCGAAAAAACAAACAAACAAATTTAAAAACAAAAAGAAACTAATTTTGTGTTTAAAAAGTTAAAAACTGAAGAAAAAACTTTTGAGTTAATGTTGTTACAGCCCCCCCCCCCCCCCCCCCCAAAAAAAAAAACCCAAAATATTATGAGATTAATTAATCGAAATAGATTGATTTTTGCTTATACATGTATATATAATTTTTAAGTTTTCTGATGCTAAATTAGTATTCCAAAATGACACCCTCCGATCGTTACACATTTTATTTTGTGGTCAGTGATCGTAATACCTCGGGTGTCAATATTGCTAGTACCATGTGGCGACGTCAACACCCATCGTATTGTAACAAACCAGCTGGAAATCCTAATATTGATATGTTTACCTGACAAATGCTTACAGCAATTTTTTCTACCCATAAGGGAAGAAGTCTTAGATTATCTGAAAATAAGCATGGCATAAAATATTTTTGAAAACGTTTTACTTAATTGAAACTTGCTGAAAATGGAGACCATGATTCTGACAGCATTCCCAAAACCTAACCGCCTTAAAAATTCCTTTTTAAAACCATAAGGTAAATATTTTCAAAATTATGTGAATAATCTGAAACAAACACCGTATTTTTTACTTAGTTTTTAATCTGATACACGTATTATTTTGTGCATTATCCTGCAATACGAACAGACAAAAGAAAACTAGAGTTTGGTAATTTTTTTTTATTTCGCTATAAATAAAAAACAAGACATCATTCTTCGCTGAGAAGATGAGGGACCTTTATCGACCTAGGGCACCGTTACAGCAGCGCCTAACTTCACCCGTAGCTGTAAGTAATAAATTTTAAAAACATTATTACTCAGGAGGAAAAGACTTATCAATACACACATATGAATTCTGAAAAATTGGTTTTAATTTTCATTTGCACATAAAAGAAAATTATTTATTCAAGGCCATCTCATCGCATGAATTCTGAAAGGGGGGATACTATCTCTTTAGAAGTAGAATTTTATTTTATAAATAAGTATCAGTTTGATAGGTTCAAATGCCCATGCATTTTGAAGTCTTTTTCACTTAACTTTTAAACAAAATATAACAGCATTACTTTAAATTATTGACGAATGTTTTTAACATTTATCAAATTTTTTTTCCGAGGAGGTCTTGAATTTATCATTTTTCTAATTTCATATACATATAGAGATGTTGTCTAAAATAGTTATTTAATTAGAACATTTAAAAAGGCAAACTAATCACGTGCACAGTGCGTTCTGGAGAATCTTATTGATGTACTTAATAAATTTTAATTGAAATTTATTTAACAAGTTAAAAAAAATTAATCCATGTACTGTGTCAATTCAAATTAATTTTAGAATATTTCAACGATATGCTTAGAATGTGATGTTGTCTCAAAATAAGTATCAAAACTGATATAAATTTCAAATCAATACAATTACCATAGGAAATACAGGAGTCTAAGTACGGAGAATAATCATATCCTTCCGCGCACTTTTTTTCGACGCAAGAGCGCGTCTTCCTGTCAAACTTGTATCCATTCGGACATCTACGCCTCCTTGCTAATTTCATAAAAGAGAAAAGAGGAACAAATTAAAAATAAAGCTGTGATATAATTGTAAGATTCGGTGTCTCTCGTACCTGGAATAAAATACAGCTATCTGAAGGGGCCGGGGGAATGAATATATGTTACGTTAGTTTTCTATTTTTTTCCCCTTTATCAATATACGAGACATGGGGTATGGGGAAAATGGAGGGGGCTATTTTTCATGTTGAAAATCGATGTTAATTACGACCCATTTCTTGATTTTTGAGTTAATTAGTAATGTAGGAAAATCAGAATATTCATTATTACACTCTCGACAGCTTATTTTGTTTCATGCCATTATATAAAATAAAATTTTTAGACAAAGTGCAAATTTAGACCTAAGTCTTAAACTGCTTCGTGATCCTGGGACCTGGTGCATAAAACATAATGTACTTAAAATGTGGGAAAAATCAGAGGAAACGCTCTTTAAATCTTAAATTCAACAAAATACCACGTGTGAATGTCATTTGCGAGTTATATTCACAGGAAATCAGAAAAAGGTAAAAAAATAAATAAATAAATAAAATATAATGTCGTAATTATTTTTCAAACCTGAAGTGATGCTAACTCCTAGAACACAGAACACCAAAATTAGGCACACGGTCACCTTGCTGAACATACTTAGTAGTCTGTGTATAGTGAACAATGGTGAATGGAAGTGGAAACCTGCTACTGGAATCTTTTAAATCATAGCTTAGTTTATTTGTAAGTGCCTTAAAAATTACTTCAGTTTGTCCATTCGGGTATGGTGATGCGTAAAACCTTCAATAACATGCTTAAAATCGTGATGGTGGAGTGTTTATTAAAGCTATACAAGGCGTGTTTTAAACGTCATTTGAAAATAGGCTTAATTTATATAAATAAAAGCTAATCATTCAGTGATGGTTTGAAATTATTTTATTGCGTCAAATGTTCTTGTATAAATGTAACAAATATTTATCTTACATAGTGTTTATAAGCTCGCCCTTTCCGCGGTAGCTTTTTTCATTAATTTGATGTCGAATTGTAATTGGAATGACGGTATGGATTTCATAGAGATTTAATTTTTTTTAATCAGAGACAGGATCTTTTGGGACCACAACTTGCTCAGTCTTAGAATAGTTACAGTTAATGTCAGGAGTAGCTGCAGAACTGTAGCGTTATTGGTTTATATTTAAGTCTTTGACCATAACGCTACAGATCCCGTAATGTAAATAAAGTGAAATTTACGGTGCAAGATTTTCTGCGCACTTTGGGGGTGTATTTCGCCACTTTCTAGCATTGGTCAATCAACGACCTTTCATCCCCTAATTCAACACATATTCTATAACCAACCTGTATATTTTAACCACCTCCTAACCCTTTATAGTCGTCTCTACAAACCAATAATTAAACACGCTTGTGAATTTGTCGTCGGATGGCATAGCGAGTTTATTGGTCTGTAGAGACGACTATAACAGTGACAAACGTATGGACTCAGTCTGAAAGCGAGAATGTAAATAATCTTTGATATCTATAAATAAAGTTAAAATAAATCTTCACAGAAATTCGTGAAAATCTGCATGGTTCAATAAAAATTATTCAAATGACAGCTAGACATTCCAGCTTTCCTTGGATATCCACATCGTTAGGAAGAATTTTTTTTCCAATTAGAAAAAAAAAATGTTTTATTTTTGTACAAAATGATTATGCATACACAACTGATATGCTTTATGTGCTTAATCCTGAAAAGAAGGGACAAGATAGACTAAGACCCCTGCATGATTTGTGGTGTCTCCAGGAGCGATGTGATAGTTCATTACAAACCTGTTGTCATCCCTCTTACAAAATGGGTATTGATTCTAAGTTACGGGGTACAAAAAGGTCACAAAATATGTAAATTTTCTCATTTTTATGCAAATTTTCATCAATTTTATAACACATTTTGTTTCAGAAAACACAGAGCACAAGCTTGCCTATCTACCAATTTTATATATTTCACGCACTAGTATCAGATGCTTCTTGTGTATAAAATTCTCAGATAGGCAAGCGTGTACTCCATATTTCCCTAAGTGAAAAGTATCTCAAATTTGACGAAATTCTGTCAGAATTGGGGAAATTAACTAAAATGTCCGACTTTGGCACTCTTTTGTGGCCTCTCTGTACTCTTTTATTCAAATTTTTTGCTGGTTTTAAAATAAGCAGCATTTAAAGTTCTTAACTGCAAACTATAACAATTTTAACTGTGTTTTGATTTTTACATCAAATAAGGGGCCAAATTTGGCTGTTACCATACCTAGTTCTTTACGTGTTTCGTGCTTAACACCAACTTTTAGTGTAAAGCTTAATGGTGACTTACCCTGGACTCACTGTAATATTCAAGTGTTCCAAATCTTGCTTTGTGCAGGCAATCACGTCAAATAAAGGGCTGGCTCTGCCCCTACTTCGACCATGCCTGGCCCCAACTCGCTTCAAGCCTTTCCCTCCCGGCTGACACCGTTTCTTATTAACCTACAAATGCCCTTGCAAAACCCCCGTCAATGTTGATTTATGCAACTATTTTTGACCCACATAGAAGCTAGACAAACAATTAAGGTTTTAGTACCCCGGTGACAGCTAGGCCTGGTCAGTTTATATCTCAGTTTAATCTAACTCAAATCAGCGTGTGACCTGACAGAACTAATGTATTACACACATCAGTTGCTCAATTATAAAGGTCTAATTACGTGTTGCTTGAAGCACAGGGGTCGATGTACGATGTTTTTATTGTACGTGTAGGTATTACATATTTTTATTTACTGTATATATCGTTAAAATTCATGGACACGCTGACTCGATCGTGTAAATAAATGTGAATTTGCTTTTCAGCGAGTTCATGTGTCGTTTCTGATGAGGTCCCCTGAAATAGTGAAATATATTAATTATTGAATTTGTTCTACTTTCGTTAAATTTAAAACGAATTTGAAGCAAAATAACAGAAATTTCTCGCTGTTCTTTCCTACAAGTTTATACCTTCGCCGCCTCGGAAAATAGTTTCCGCCTTAGGGGAACCATAATTTGCTACTTCCCTCATATACCCATTCCATAACTGTATACTATGACCTTGTGATTCTTACAGTGTTACTGTATACTATGACTTTGTGACCATTACATTATTACTGTAAACTATGACCATGTGATCATTACAGTGTAACTGTAAACTATAACCTTGTGATCATGATATTGTTACTGTAAACTATGACCTTGTGATTCTTACAGTGTTACTGTAAACTATGACCTTGTGATTCTTACAGTGTTACTGTAAACTATGACCATGTGATCATTACAGTGTTACTGAAAAGTATGACCTTGTGATAATTACAGTGTTACTGTAAACTATGACCTTGTGATCATTAAAGTGTAACTGTAAACTATGACGTTGTGATCATGACAGTGTTACTGTAAACTATGACCATGTGATCATTAAAGTGTAACTGTAAACTATGACCTTGTGATTCTTACAGTGTTACTGTAAACTATGACCATGTGATCATTACAGTGTTACTGTAAACTATAACCTTGTGATCATTAAAGTGTTACTGTAAACTATGACTGTGTGATCATTAAAGTGTTACTGTAAACTATGACCTTGTGACCATTACATTGTTACTGTAAACTATGACCTTGT